CTCAGTGAAATACCTTCTCCAGGAACAAAAGGCAGTACACAGCTGTTTCACACCTTAAGGTTCACACTCCCTTGCTACCTCCCAGAGTCCTCGAAGACACAAAAGATTCTTCCTGTGGAGTTGTCTGCTCCCACCAACTTCCTTACTACACCCCCACCATTTGTCTAACTGCATGAGTGTGAGACATGCTAAAATCCAGTGGCACCAAGGTATCATACAATAAAATAATGTGATTAATACATAAATAAAAGAAATTCCTATACATGTCCTGCAGAGGGGCGTGGCCACAGACTGAGGTCATGAAGACAGGTACAGAGCACTCGCTGACCTCAGTGTCAGCGCTCTGATGGATCAGCTGTTTGTGACACAATAACCTGATTAGACTTAATTATCCTGACAGCAGGTGACTTCCTGTCTGACATCAAGCCCCGCCTCTAACAGCGGTATTAGCTGCTGGAAACCAAAGAAGAAGAGTACCTTCCACTTTTTTTTGTGTGTGATTTCTTTTTGAGCCTAAAAACTACTTATAATGTATTTTTTAAACACACAGGACTATAGTGGACAACAACAAAAGGACAACTTTGGTTTGAAATTACAGCTGAATTTAGAAAATCAAACTGGACCACTTTACAGCTTTAGAGCAGAGGTGGGGAACTCCAGACCTCGAGGGTCGGTGTCCTGCAGGTTTTAGATCTCACCCTGGGTCAACACACCTGAATCACATTACCAGGCCTCTGGAGAACTTCAAGACATGTTGAGGAGGTCATTTATCCATTTAAATCAGCTGTGTTGGATCAAGGACACATCTAAACCCTGCAGGACACCGGCCCTCGAGGCCTGGAGTTCCCCACCCGTGCTAGGGTGTCATTAAAAACCTTTAATTAGATGAAAAAACAAAAATCTTCATTATTCTTGTTTTCTGCTGTTTGTTACCAGGACGATATTAACCTGTATATTTAGCTGAACAGACGTAGTTCTTCCACCATCACTGATGCTCCTCTCCTGGCGCCTCATTGGCTGTGACACTTGGTCCTTCACTGTGGTTCCAGTTGTTAGAAGACTCTGAGATCGATGGCTGTGAAATATAGATCAAAGCTTATGTGAGTTCCTGTGGGAACCGATCCAACCAGTCACAAGTCGACTGCAGCACCAGTCTCTGGTCACTCCACAGACAATCCAGCCCCAGACCATTAGCAGCAGTGGGGGCAGAGACTTGTAGGCAAGGAGGTTTTGCCTGCTAACCTACCATCGTTGTCCTGCTGATAATTCTGGTCAGTGGAGGCAACCACATGTACTGACGTGGCAAAGAAAACCTTTGTGTTGGCAGGTGGTGTTTGTTGTTGACAGCGGGGTCTGAGGAGCAGCTGCCAAACCTTCAGTTTATCATCCATGTGCTTAATCGGACTCCAGTGTTCTCGGACTTCAGGCTCACACGAGTACTGAAGTACCGGATACTCTCAACACAGTAATCTAATGTGATACTACGCTGGATACGTTATCCTGGAACTAAATGATGCACACAGTTCGTGCTGGCCCACCGAGCACCGCCCCGCCCGAGTCAATCTCCTCGTCAGGTAGTCCTGTGTCTTCCTCCTCTTCGTCGTGTTCTCCTAGACCAGGCGTTACTCCTCCTCTTCATCCAGTCTGAACCTCCCTCTGCTGTGGTGTACAAAACCCTCTGCTTCACCTTTGTACTCCAACAGCAGCACTGAACCTGTCCTGGTGTCCACTGCAGCTCACATTCAAAGAAAGACAATTTCACAGGTAATAACCATGTAATAAACACCACTACATGTAGTTACTATGGTAACAATAGTAGTAGAAGGAGAGTATTTTGCTAACCTCTCCTCTTGTTGGTGTGTCGGCGGTTTTGATTGAAAGGTGGTAAACTGGTCACATGACATAAGTGGAAAGCCCAGGATGTGGGCTGGGTGGGCGTCACAGTCCGAGGATACACAGGTGACACGTACATGAACAAGTGGGCTGGCTCTCAGAAAGTTTCATGCAGTCGGAGCTCTGATGTCACTCACCTGTCCAGGTAAATGTGCGTTTCTTTCAGCTTCATCTTACACCGGCAGCTTATCTGACCTTTGTAGGAGTGTTTAGCTGATTTTAGAGTTTAGAAATGTGTTAACATAGAATGTAGAACTATTGTAGAGACACTGCCCTCAATATAATAAAGGCCTCACTGTGTCGTGAACTTAGGAGTAGATTGTAGGAGACCCCTCCCCCACAGAGTGGAAATTCCCCAGAGGATGTTTGGGTGGGGGTCTCAACATTTGTAACTGGATAACTGTGGTCTGGAAGGGAGAGGGGTTTTATGACCTAGGGAGTCACCTACACCCACAGTGTTTTAACTGTCACGCACACACATCCACACGCACACTCACTCATGTGCACTCACACACACACACAGGTATGCGCACACAGTCACACACGAGCACTCACATAGACATGCGGGAACGCGCACATGTAGGCATTCATGTGCTCGTGCACATAGACACAGACAGAGTTTGCAGCACACCGTGGGGGGTTTTATGATGGGGTCGCCCCTACAAAACTGTGTTTCACAGACAAAGCAGTGAAGATTT